TAGTAATTTCAAAAAAATTCCTATGCACACGCAAGATCATGGTGATGGCATAGCAACGAGAGGGGAGAGTGTTCGTCCACGTACCCTCGTAGACCGTAAGCGGAAGCGTTAGCACAACGCAGTTGATGTAGTCGTACGTCTTCACGATCCGACCGATCCAAGCACCGAACGTACGGAGCCTCCGAGTTCAGCACACGTTCAGCTCGATGACGATCTCCGGCCTCCGATCCAGCCGAGCTCCGGAGATGAGTTCCGTCAGCACGACGGCGTGGTGACGATGATGATGTTCTACCGGCGCAGGGCTTCGCCTAAACTTCGCGACGATATGACCGAGGTGGAATATGGTGGAAGGGGGCACCACACACGGCTAAGGAACGATCCGTAGATCAACTTGTGTGTCTATGGGGTGCCCCCTGCCCCCGTATATAAAGGAGCAAGGGGGAGGAGGCGGCCGGCGAAGGGAGGGCGCGCCAGGGAGGAGTCCTACTCCCACCGGGAGTAGGATTCCCTCCTTTCCTAGTCCAACTAGGAGACCTTCCATGTAGTAGGAGTAGGAGAGAAGGAAAGGGAAGAGAGAAGGGAAGGAAGGAGGGGGTGCGGCCCCTCCCCTTAGTCCAATTCGGACTAGGCCTTGGGGGGCGTGCAGCCTGCTCTAGGCAGCCCCTCTCTCTTTCCCGTGTGGCCCAATAAGGCCCAATACTTCTCCCGGCGAATTCCCGTAACTCTCCGGTACTCCAAAAAATACCCGAATCACTCGGAACCTTTCCGAAGTCCGAATATAGTCGTCCAATATATCGATCTTTACGTCTCGACCATTTCGAGACTCCTCGTCATGTCCCCAATCTCATCCGGGACTCCGAACTCCTTCGGTACATCAAAACTCATAAACTCATAATAAAACTGTCATCGAAATCTTAAGCGTGCGGACCCTACGGGTTCGAGAACTATGTAGACATGACCTAGAACTATTCTTGGTCAATAACCAATAGCGGAACCTGGATGCCCATATTGGTTCCTACATATTCTACGAAGATCTTTATCGGTCAAACCGCATAACAACATACGTTGTTCCCGTTGTCATCGGTATGTTACTTGCCCGAGATTTGATCGTCGGTATCCAATACCTAGTTCAATCTCGTTACCGGCAAGTCTCTTTACTCGTTCTGTAATGCATCATCCCGTAACCAACTCATTGGTCACATTGCTTGCAAGGCTTATAATGATGTGCATTACCGAGAGGGCCCAGAGATACCTCTCCGATGATCGGAGTGACAAAACCTAATCTCGAAATACGCGAACCCAACATGTACCTTTGGAGACACCTATAGTACTCCTTTATAATCACCCAGTTACGTTGTGACGTTTGGTAGCACCCAAAGTGTTCCTCCGATAAATGGGAGTTGCATAATCTCATAGTTACAGGAACATGTATAAGTCATGAAGAAAGCAATAGCAACATACTAAACGATCAAGTGCTAGGCTAACGGAATGGGTCATGTCAATCACATCATTCTCCTAATGATGTGATCCCGATAATCAAATGACAACTCATGTCTGTGGCTAGGAAACTTAACCATCTTTGATTCAACGAGCTAGTCAAGTAGAGGCATACTAGTGACACTATGTTTGTCTATGTATTCACACATGTATTATGTTTCCGGTTAATACAATTCTAGCATGAATGATAAACATTTATCATGAAATAAGGAAATAAATAATAACTTTATTATTGCCTCTAGGGCATATTTCCTTCACGTAGGGCCAATCATAATCATACAACTAGACTTCTAGGGTTTTAGCCATCACGATCTCGTGGTAGATCAACTCTTGTAATACTCATATTCATCAAGATCAATCAAGCAGGAAGTAGGGTATTTCCTCCATAGAGAGGGCCCAAACCTGGGTAAACATCGTGTCCCCGCCTCCTGTTACCATCAACCTTAGATGAACAGTTCGGGACCCCCTACCCGAGATCCGCCGGTTTTGACACCGACACCCTCCTCCTCCTCCTCCAACCTATATATACTAGAGGTTTTGGCACCATTTGAACACACAAGTTTTGGAGCCTCCTCTAGTTCTCTAGTTCTAGTTGGTCCCAGTTGATCAATTAGAGCTAGACCTATATCCTATAATCCTCGTAATTAGAAGCCAAGTGTGGTTCTAGTCGCCTCGGTCAATGGCCAACCGACACATATACCAACAGTCAGATTTCAAACACACCCGACAACTTTACTTGAGCTACAAGCAAAGCTGACTGAACCAACTCAAAAGAGATTTTTATCAAAATCTTCACTAGAAGACACGAGACTTTAGGTTGAGCATCACGACAGTTTCTGACTTGATATGGCCTCGATCCTACTTAACAATACGGTGGTTCCTATGACTCAGAAAGAGGGAAATGAAACTACCAAAAGAACAAAGTCTTCATGCTCCATGGTCTTCAAGCCAAGTCTTGGTGAGCTACCAAAGTCTTCAATGTCTTTAGACATTTCTAGGGTCGTCTACGATGGTTAAACCAAATCTCCGTTGACTTCTATCTATGTTACCATGTGTTCACTCACAAAAACATTAGTCCCTTAACCAAGTTTGTCGTCAATACTCCAAACCAACAAAGGGGTGGCAGATGCACTTACATCGATAAAAGCCACTTTATTCACACTAGTGCAATAAAATCAGTGTAGTTTTAATTGGTCTTAGTCCACGTGTTGAGTTACCGGTTAAAATCATCTTAGTCACATGGGTGTAATAGTATTGGTCCATGTTTTTTCATTTCTGGTATGCCTTGTCAAGTAGTTGTTAAAATCATTACATTCATCACAGTACATATCACGAACCTAGTATCATTTTTTGCACCAGATGTATCGTGTAGCCAGTAAAACCATTTCATTCACACAAGGAAAAACATCAATGATCTGTTGTGTGGTTGTACCTATGTCGCACGGGGTTTATTACCTCTGTGTAGAGTAGGACTCCATGTATGGGCTCATGGTGAGGTAGATGAAGTAAAGTTCTACATTCTTTGTTCTCTACGTAACTAATCCCTTGCCTCCTTATATCCTCTTTTTAATAACCATCACCCTGCCCCACCCACACATTATTTGATGACTCTAACAATAACTACAATAGAAATCAAGAAGCAACCACTGGCCATATGTTCTGTGAGATGGTTCTCATCAATCCATTAGGGATAAACCCATTGGTTTGATTCCAAATGTCTCAAGGTTAACTATTCTTTCATTGGAGGCAAGGTCCCCGTGGCGCCGAACCGCACAAAGCTTACACTCTATAGCATCAAAAAACAACTCATCTTAGAACATTTTTTGTAAAACTTCTCTCACCTTTGAGTATCAATATAAAGAGTCGTCAACATAAAAAAATGATGCTAAAATCTACCACGAAATCTAATTTCATAATGTATAATTATTCTTGCTGGAAGCAATATATTTACAAAAAATGATGATCAAAGAAAGTAGTCGGAGATCATGCCACTATCATAAATGAGTGTTTTGGCATAGAGAGAGTAGCATACACCTCTACATAGTATGAATGGATATGTTCCCTAGTTTGATTTATTCTGTTGCAATGGTCACGTTGTTGGCACGAACCACTTTACTCATGCGGGCGTAATAGCATCATTACACTTTTTTTGAACCAAGACCCCCTTTCCATTAATCATAACTGAAATACATCACGATCTGGAGTTTATAAGAAACAGAAAAGAGAGGGAAGCGAGTTCAAACACTCCCACGAAACCCACAAGCGGGAAAGAGGGGGAAGCGAGTTCAAACACTACCAGGAGACCCACAGGCGGGAAAGAGAGGGAAGCGAGTTCAAACATTGCGAGGAAACATACTGCAAACGCCATCATTGTAGTTTCATTTGTTTCCACTCCATAGGGGTTGATCGTAAAAGCCACTTTATTTGCACACACATTCACGCGAGCACAGTAATATCACTCTAGTTTCCTTCATTGCCGTTTCCTTTTCGAGTAGCCATTACTTCGTCCACACGAGTACAAAACCATCGGTGTAACTTCATTTTTTGTTGTTGCATTCACACAAAAGAAATATATTTCATTCACACAAATACAACAGCGATGATTGACAGTTGTACAATGTGTGGACTAATGGGTGGATGGATGGAGCAAAATGCCAGCCGAAGGAGTTCAAATCACTGGAAAACGACATATATATAGCATCAAGCCCGCCGGAGGAGTTTAAATCAGGGCAAAATGGCATATAAATAGCATCAAGCCCGCCGGAGGAGTTCAAATCAGGGGAAAACGACATATAAATGGCATCAATCTATTTTCATTGCTTCCGCTCCATCCGGCGAATTGATGGTAAAAACCATTTTTTTCCCACACACACATCATTCACAGGAGCGCAATAATGACGCTCCAGTCTCCTTCCTTGTAGTTTCCTTCCGGAGTAGCCATTATTTCGTCCACACGAATACAAAATCATAGGTGTAACTTCAATTATTTTTTGAATTCCACGCAAAAGAAATATATTTCATCCACACAATTACTGTACAACATAAATGATGGACGGCTGTGATGGGATCACTGCCACAATGTGTGGACCGATGTGCGGATGGATGGAGCAAAATGCTCGATGGATGCTCCCAAATCTGCTGCTAAACCTATCGCGGCGATTATTGCCTGATCATTTTTCTCCTCAAAACCACAGACCCTATAAAACTCCCAAAGCCCTCCCCCCTTTCTCTTCCCCAGCAGACCCACCCCTCCCCCCACATCTTGTCTTTCTTTCCCTTCGCCACTTCCCAAGACACACGCCGGTACAGAGGAGAGAGGAGCGGCGCCTTCTCCTCCATTGGGGCATCTTTATCTAGGCCACAGCCCGGGAAAAGAGCAGCAGCCACCATTTTTTAGACCCCAAGAGCAAGGACC